ATATGATATATATATATATATATAGAAGCATTACTCCCCACTATTTTTTCGGTCAAATTGATTTCAACGCCTCTAGTGGTCTGTGGTACCTACTACTTTTAATAAAGCGCGAAATTTAAAAGTATTTTTATTCAGTTAATGGTTATTAATTATTGATTTCAAACTTCCACCAGTCAACATGAAAATGATAACAGTAAAGGTATCATTTTCATGTTGACTGGTGAAAATTTGAATTTTGTTTTCACTTCGTTTTGTCTGCAACAAAACGCCTGCACTTTCGACTCTTCAGAGTACCACGAGAAAAAATGAAAGGAATTTTGGCGTAATGTCATCAATAGAACGACATAGTTTTAAAGTTCCCGCTTGACTTTCAAAATGGCGGCAAACCGCGGTACTTTGTAAATCTAGGGACTTTAAGCAATTTGTGCTTACAGTGCCATCTAGCCGTCCGTGGTACCCATTAAATATCTGTCTTTTTTTATACGTATTGAGTTAACACACCGTGGTCATCACTGGCGCCAGTAATTTCAGAAGGGTGCAGACTTTTCCGATCCATGCATGCATGGTTTCAACTTGCATGCCAGTTGATGTTTACACACGCAATTTAATTTTACTGGCGCGCCAGTTTTTATTGGCGCCACCAAACTCACTATAGCATATCAAATAATTAAAATTTATTGGCTGTCGTTGCTAGATGACATTTCTCCACTGTCACTTTTACTCTTATAACTGGATTGTATTAATTGGTCAGGAGGATTTGGTTTTGGCAGAGTTTCACACTCGGGTTTTTGGCTAATCTTACAAACGATACCAAACTTTTTTTTGTCTTTTTATTTATATTATCTAGGTTCAAGGACAGTAGAATCTAACAGGACTGCTACATCCATTGTTGTGACAACCTGCCCGCAAACTACGTCACACCATTTTCCACGCCCAGCTGTTGTTATGGTCTATGCGTTTACTGTGTATTTGTAGAGGTTATATCCTAGACGTATTCATATTATTTTTGAAATCTTATGTTTTTAGACGTATTAATGTCTATCATATAACCTCTAAAAACACAGACAGTTACCAGGCGTGGCAAATACTGTGACGTAGACTGCGGGCAACCAACCCGTAGTGGGCTACAAAAATACAATGCATGTAGTAGTCCTGTTAGATTCTACTCTCCTTGATCTAGGTTTATATTACAAATTATATTACAGAACTTTTATGGAATTAAATTTTATGTTTAATACATACTACTTTACTTATTGTTAGTATAGTGCGGGATATGATTACTTTTCGACAATTTTTTGTATGTCTTTGGATCGATTTCTCTGATAACACTCCAGAGATAATCTCCCATCATCCCTGCTTCCCAGTAACCTCTTTCCAATGTCATTAAGTCTTGATGGAACCGCTCGCCTGGTTCGTCACTTTCTGCTCCAAGATTGCTTGGAAAAAAATCTAAGTGCGAATGGAGAAAATGGATTATGAGCGACATATTTGCATTTATGGCTTAGTAATTGTGCAATACATTGGAAATTATTTGGGGATAATTCTCATCCTTATGGTTTCCTAAAAATCCATGGACGATTTGTTTGAAGCTAATCCACACCGTTACTTTTTTTGGTGTTAACATTGACATGAATCGTTGTCATTTATTAATTTTCTTATTTGAGGGCCAACAAATATGCCTTCTTTTAGTTTAGCATACGATAGTTGTGGAAAGAGCTGGGTGAGATATTTAAATCTGGGATTTCTGGATTCAACGTTTTCACAAAGTTTTTCATCAAACCCAGTTTGATGTGTAGTGGAGGTAATATTACAAATGCTGGTCTCACCAGAGGCTTATTTAAGACATTGAAAGCACCAGTATCGTAATGTTCTCTAGAAGGCCAGTTTTTGTGCACATAATGATGCTCTCTTGGTCGGCTATCCCAAAAACAAAGAAAACAGCAATATTTAACCACAGCAAATTCCTGAAAATCATAGAAATGTAAGTCTTTTCTTTACTGCGGCAATTACTTTTAAATCTGCACAAACTTTCCATTAAAATGCGTTATACTGAATTAGAGTCAAAACCTCTAATATGCGCACATATGTTTCTTTAACATTGATGGCATGAGCAAGTTAAATAGTTGGTAGTGTGTTTCCATTATAAAGTAAAGCTGCTTTAAGACTGTTTTTAGAGCTATCGATAAAAAGACGCCATTCACTTGGGTTATGATCTATTTTCAATTCATCAAACAGTCTCTGCACGTTATTACAATAACAAATACAGTTATTGATACCTCTGTTTCGATACACAGTTACACGGATTGTAGGGTGTGCAATCTTCAACAACTTCAGATCTCTAACTAAGTCACTTAGTTCTTTCTGTGACAGTTTATGGTTTATTTTGGCATCATAGTCGCTGCTAGATGACATATCTTCACTCTATCCTTTACTCTGATCACTTTCACTGGATTGCATTAATCGGGCAGGAGGATTTGGTCTTGGTAAAGTTTCGCTGCGCGTAATCGGGTTTTTGGCTGATCTTATATTAGGATAAACCAAACTTTTCTTTGTTTTTTTTTGTTTATGCCGTCTAGATTTATGTTGTTACAGAAATAGCAATCGCATTGATCTGATATCTGTGACCATAACATTGGAATACCAAACTGTAAATGAGATGTAGATGGATGGCGATCTATTCAAAGTTATACCGCAATTCGAACATACAAAGCTGGGTGTCCAGGGCTTGCCTAAATTCGTCAAAGCAAACCCAAAATAATGAGAATACGCTTGTTTTATAACAGTTGTAATTGGTCAAAATAATGTATTGTCCACAAATAAAACAGAACGAATCAGGATTGTTCTTGCATTCAAAACTTTTGCTGCTGCTAGAGATTATCAAAAAAACTTTTACATCACTTTGCTATTTTCTTAGACGAAAGATCATTGAGGTGTCTCAAGAAGAACTGAATATTATGAGTATTATGACAATATATTCTCCTTTTATACCAAAAAATATTTCAAAAAAAGACTTGGAAAAACTTTTTCCAAGAATTTTATTGTTTGTTGTATTTAAAAAATAATAATATTTGTTTCGGTGAATTTAATGTGTATACTTAGTGCCTGGAAGAGTTAAAACACCTCTTCATTAAAAAAAATTGTTCGTAATAATGTTTCAATAATACAGTGAAAATGGCAAAAAATGAAATTTTGCACGATTGTGTTAAATTAACGATATCTCCCGTAAAATACATTCCACCATGGTGTCCAATGCTTCGAAATTTAGAGAATTAACTGTTCTACAGGATAGAATAGCTAACTTTTTTGTTCATGTATAATATTTTTTCGTTACGCTGCGATTAATGATAAAAAGAATGGGAAAAATGCCAAAAAATTTGATTTTGTTGAGTTGTTTTAGGCTGTAACAAAATAACGGAAAGTCCGATTTATGCCATCAATACCTCAAAATGTTCGTCTGGATCTCTACTTTCATGTCCATATAGCTACAGAAACATACTATGCAAAATAAAAAATATACTGAAAATGAACCGTTACTATCTTTTTTAATTTACGATTTTCCACATTTTTTGGTATATCTCGAAAACTGGACGTGATGGAGAAAAACTGAAGACAGTTTCAGAATCAGCACAACATTCTCCGTTATAAAAAATTAATAAAACACGTTTTATGGCTTTGCGTTTAGGAATAACAAAGGTGTTACGCGTAGCACTTAAATCGGAATTTACCGACCAAATAACAATTACATCGTGCAACTATTATTACCAAGCCCATCTTGTAAATATTCATCCGCGAAATCGCGCATAAATTTCCATATAATTTGCAAGGACCGCGCATGCAATTTCCGGTTTGTAAAAGAAACAAACCTCCACACAGGTCCAGTTAGGCGCCAAACATGCTGAAACTATACTCAAGTTCTGTGCCCGATTCATCCAGACCGCTGACACTTGCGTGTTATTCTGGCCGAGCCAACCGGCCGACGTCAGGTAGTAGTCCCTGCAACAAAGAGGGTCATTCGTTACCCCTATCTCTGGCACCCTTTCGCCTTTGTTTAGGCGAAAGGCCAGATCAGATCGCCGCAAGTGCCTTTTAAAACGGCCCCTCTTGTGAGTAATGGTTGCTTCGGCTATTGCGTTTGCATGTTTGCACAAGCTCCGACGAGCGTCCTTTACGACAAGTGGTCAACTTACCTCAACGGAATTTTAAAACGAACCAACATTTCTATCTTTACTTACTGGTCTTGAAGCGTCTTCGGCGGCGAAACTTCGTACTGCTTCACGTCCGTCATATTGCTGATATCTACGACCCAAAGTTGAACGGTTGGATTCGGAGTTCCCGGCTGAAATCAACACCCCACCACCGAAAAGGTTGTCTTTCAATGAAAATTAAAGAAGTCGAGAGGTTAGGCTCTCTCACCCTGGGATATCGAACGGTTCGGGCCCCCGGGAAATTGGAGACCCGCTGTGCCCCAACGCTATCCCCCAAGCCTGTCGCTGTAGGGAACCAAGGGAAGGTCACGGTTCCGACGTTGGTATCGTTGAAGGTCGCGTAAATCAGGTGCGTAGCATCCGGTGAACTCCAGAGTGCCTCGGGCGTGCTCAGGACATCCTCTGTGTACCCCCAAAAATTAATTTACTTGGACGGTCACGCACCCCCCCGAAATTGGAACACAAAGTTCGAACCCAACCCAAAAGTTTGATATATTAAACTAATGATTTTTTTTTCATAATAATAACCTCGATATAACGGACAAAATTATTTTTAAGTCATACTATTAATGTTATCTATTTAATACATCAGTGAAATTCCCCTAACTCGAACTTCTATATCTCGAATTATCCTCTAAGGTCCATTACTACCATCTTTTAGTTAAATTTATCTTATAGATAAACCCATCTACTAGCCAATCAGAGCGCGTAAAATAACCGTAACCGTGGTAATAATCCCTTAGATAGCTTAACCAGAAGATGGTAGTAACGAGCCTAAGGCCCACTATTACCATCCTCCTGATAAACTATCTAGAAGATAGTTGCCATGGTTACGGCGGTTTTAAGCACTCTCATTGGCTAAGAGCTGGATTTATCTATCGGATAAATTTATCAAGAGGTGGTAAAAGTGGGCCTAAATCGAATAATTTTCGTAAGCTCAAGCGTTTGAGTAGGTTTCAAATGTGTTTTTATCTCTCTAAGTCGAATTTCTCTGTAACTCGAACTGAACTACTATGGAATTTCTTCAACTTCTACTTCTATAAGTCGAATTTACCAAAGAATAAAATATTCGAATCCGCTCTGTAAGTAATTTTAACTACAAAATCACACCACATACACTCTGGCTCAGAAACTACAGACTCTTGAACCAAAACAAACCTAATGTTCTTATTGTTTCAGAATCAGATGAGGGTGATGATAATCCTGAAATGAAATACTTATCGCTGTGCCTAAATTTGATGAAGCTTATTCCTCTCTTAGAAACCTTGAAACCTTTGTATTATCAAAAGAGAATGTTCCAGATAATATTCATAATTCTTTATATTTAATAGAAGATTTTCTCGACGAAGAGCAGTTGTCCACTTTAAGCCAAAAGAAAACTATGGATTACTTCAAAAATCTTGATTAATTTTCTACTTATAATAGTATTAAGGTTTCTGTTTTAAACTCGAATCCACCATAACTCGAAGTTTTCTTCCGCTCCTTTAGTGATTCGAGTTAGGGGAATTTCACTGTATTTGAATAAAATGTTAGTGCTCATAGATAGAATCTAATCCCCAAGATTCCTCAAGTTGCTCTATTCCATGTTCATAAATAAACTCGGGGTATTCCCCGAATAAAAGTACCATGATGGAAAACTGATGGAGAAAGACTTTATGAATAGAAAATATTCCTAATGCATCAAGAAATCATAATGCATACTTATTTGATGTTTATCTATCAAAAGTTTCTAGTGATATAGCATAAATCACAAAATGTCAAAACTTGATGATTTTTCTTAACAAAATCAATTATAACGGAAGTACTAAAAGTGGTGGAGAAAGAAATTATGAATAAAAAATATTCCTAATGCATCAAGAAATCATATTTCAAATTTATCTATCACCAGTTTCTAGTAATATAGCATATATAACAAAATGTCTAAATTGGATGATTTTTCTTATTAAAATCAACTATAACGTAAGTACTAAAACTGATGGAGAAAGACGTTATGAATAAAAAATATTCCCAATGCATCAAGACATCATAATCTATACTTATTTCATATTTATCTATCACCAGTTTCTAGTGATATAGCATTAATTACAAAATATCAAAATTTGATGACGTTTTTTAATAAAATCAACTATAACGGAAGTAGTAAAAGTAATGGAGATAGACGTTGTGAATAAAAAATATTCCTAATGCATCAAGAAATCACATTCCATACATATTTTATATTTATCTATTACCAGTTTCTAGTGATATAGCATAAATCACAAAATATCAAAATTTAACGTCGTTTTTTAATAAAATCAACTATAAAGGAAGTAGTAAAAGTAATGGAGACAGATGTTATGAATAAAAAATATTCCAAATGCATCAAGAAATCATAATCCATACTTATTTCATATTTATCTATCACCAGTTTCTAGTGATATACCATAAATCACAAAATATCAATATTTGATGACGTTTTTTAATAAAATCAACTATAACGGTAGTAGTAAAAGTGATGGAGACAGATGTTATGAATGAAAAATATTCCTAATGGATCAAGAAATCATAAATCTATACTTATTTCATATTTATCTGTCACCAGCTTCTAGTGATATAGCATAAATCACAAAATATCAAAATTTAATGACGTTTTTTAATAAAATCAACTATAACGGAAGTAGTAAAAGTGATGGAGACAGATGTTATGAATAAAAAATATTCCTAATGCATCAAGAAATCACATTCCATACTTATTTCATATTTATCTATCACCAGTTTCTAGTGATATTGTTGTAAATGTAAATGATAAACAAGTATAGTAGCTCAATGAAACAAAAGTTACATAGTTATTAAAAAGAAGACATGGTAACAACATATGTGTACATGATAACAAAACAATAGTAAATAAATATTAGATCTTACTACTACTCGTATGTAAATTTACTACAACATAAATATAAATAAATAATCGTTTATTGTGCAAAGTTTCAAACAAGCATTTAATTTCAACTGATGCATATTTGATGTTACCCACAGGGTTTTGAGGTCCAGATTGATTTTTTCTTGAGCAGCAATATATTATTCACGTTTGAAAGAATAATATAGCTGAGTATCATCGGCATACATAAAAACTTATTGAATTTAATGCCTTTAAAAATAAGTGAAGTGTATAAGATGTCCAAACCCTGTGGGACACCATGCTCTACCAGTCTAGGAGCAGACAACATATTATCAATTTGAACAGCTTGGCAACGATCATTTAGGTAACTACAAAGCAGTTGCCGTCCAGACTTACTCAGACCAAAGTATCTTAAAATTTTTAACAACGTTATGTGGTTAACCGTATCAAACGCCTTACTATAATCCAACAGCGTCATTATTGTAATATCGTCCCTATCTGTAGCCTCCATAATGTCGTCCGTAACAGCCAACATCGCCGTCGTACAACTATGTCCCTCCCTAAATCCAGACTGAGTAGGTGAAAGGATATCATATAGATTGGCAAATTGTGACAGTTGATCTTTCAAAAACCTTACAAAGAAATGGGAGGATGTTAATTGGCCGGAGATCATTAAAAGACGAAGGTTTTGAAGTTTTAGGTATAGGTTTGACTATTACACATTTCCAACAGTCTGGAACCGTGCTCTCCATCAAGCATGAGTTGATAATAAGTAAGATAAGACAATCACAAAAGATATAGCATAAATCACAAAATGTAAAAATTTGACGATTTCTCTTAAAAAATCAATTATAACGGAAGTACTAAATGTGGTGGAGAAAGACGTTATGAATAAAAAATATTCCTAATACATCAAAAAATCATAATCCATACTTATTTCATATTTATCTATCACCAGTTTCTAGTGATATAGCATAAATCCCCAAAATGTCTAAATTTGACAACTTTTCTTAATAAAATTAACGATAACGGAAGTACTAAATGTGGTGGAGATAGACGTTGTGAATAAAAAATATTCCTAATATATCAAGAAATCATAATCCATACTTATTTCATATTTATTTATCACCAGTTTCTAGTGATAAAGCATAAATCTCCAAAATGTTAAAATTGGACGATTTTCCTTATAAAATCAACTATACCGGAAGTACTAAAGCTGATGGAGAACGACGTTATGAATAAAAAATATTCCCAATGCATACTGTATAATGCAAGTAACAATTCCATCTAAAATGTTACATAATAAAGTCCAAACTTTGCACATTGACATAATACATTATTAAAGTCAGCTGCAATAATGATCATGAAACTAATTGTAAGATATTTTCTGCACATGGTAGATTTAAGGTATAAGAATAGGTTCAGTACTTTTGGCATCAAGACAAAGATAAACATAAATGATATCGTCTTAAGAGACGCACGGCTAAACCCGAATATTTCTAGTTCTAGGTCTAGTGTCAGTTCTAGTACTAGTGTTAGTTCTAGTTTTGGTTATTATTCAGCTTTAGATTGTTGTATGTTTTTTATTGAACTAAAACTAGGTCTACCACGTGCAGTCCTCTTAGATTCTACTGTCCTTGGTATAGATAAATATTAAGCTAAATAGATTGAACGCAACTATAACGGACTTTTGGTTATAACGGACACTCCTTTCCCCATTTTAGTCCTTTATATCGAGGTTTTACTATACTACTTCATAATTAAATTTTTGCTTCTTTTAAATACCTTGATAAAGCCAATCGGGTATTCCATTATATACGANATGCATCAACAAATCACATTCCATACATATTTTATATTTATCTATCACCAGTTTCTAGTGATATAGCATAAATCACAAAATATCAAAATTTGATGACGTTTCTTAATAAAATCACCTAGAACGAAAGTAGTAAAAGTGATGGAGACAGATCTTATGAATATAAAATATTCCTAATGCATCAAGAAATCATAATCCATACTTATTTCACATTTATCTATTACCAGCTTCTAGTGATATACCATAAATCACTAAAATGTCTAAATTTGACAACTTTTCTTAATAAAGTATAACAGAAGTACTAAATGTGGTGAAGATAGACGTTATAAATAAAAAATATACCTAATGCATCAAGAAATCATAATCCATACTTACTTCATATTTATTTATCACCAGTGTCTAGTGATATAGCATAAATCACAAAATGTCAAAATTTAACGATTTTTCTTAATAGAATCGACTATAGCGGAAGTACTAAAGCAGATGGAGAGAGAGGTTATGAATGAAAAATATTCCTAATACATCACGAAATCATAATCCATACTTATTTCGTATTTATCTATCACCAGATACTAGTGATATAGCATAAACTTAAAATGTCAAAATTGGACGATTTTTCTTAATAAATTCACCTATACCGGAAGTACTAAAACTGATGGAGAAATGAATGAATGCATACGGTATAATGCAAGTAACAATGCTACCTAAAATGTTACATAATAAAATCCAAGCTTTGAACATCGACATAATACATTATTAAATTTCTAAATATGTTCGTTAAAGTCAGCTGCAATAATGATCATGAGACTAGGATATTTTCTGCACATGCAACCCGAATGTTTCTAGTTCTAGGTCTAGTGTCAGTTCTAGTGCTAGTGTTAGTTCTAGTTTTGGCTATTATTCAGCTTTAGATTGTTGTATGTTTTTCATTGAACTAAAACTAGGTCTACCACGAGCAGTCCTCTTAGATTCTACCGTCCTTGGTATACATAAATATAAAGCTAAATAGATTGAACGCAACTATAACGGACTTTTGGTTATAACGGACACTCCTTTCCCCATATTAGTCCGTTATATCGAGGTTTTACTATACTACTTCATAATTAAATTTTTACTTCTTTTAAATACCTTGATAAAGCCAATCGGGTATTCCATTATATACGATATCTGGTTGTCCGGTGAAGGTTAATCTGGTATCTTCAAGTTCCGTAGGTGATTGACGGATGTAAATGTCGTTTTCGTACACTATAAGGATTTGTGTGGTGTCTCCGAGAAATGCCGCGTACTGCAGCATTTGGAACTGCGCGTGCGAAGCGGACGCAAGGCGCAGCGGTATCTGATGACTTATTAAATAAAAACAAATTAGATACTAAATAATCCGTGCCTAAATCGAATTTACAATCGCGTAATAACCGCGTACAAGTCGGCTAGAGTTGCTCGATTAGATCTCTATGTAAATCAAGCGGGCGGCGAACTCAACGTAACTCGATTTTGAAGTTGCACGGAACGGAGAATAGAGTCATTTCCGCTATCTCGTCGAGTCCCCGGAAGGTTTCCGTTTTTAATGTTAACGCGCGAATGCCGATAGTATTACTTCAGGTATTGCGAATGAAAAGATGTTGAAAAGACGTGTCGAGAATATGAGGGGATTTGCGAATAATGCGGTTGGATTTCGTGGATGTATCGGTAAAATGCGGTTTCACTTCGTATCACCTGATATTCAGGTTAACCCACATAGTGTGATGTTAACACATGACTTTATCCAGACCGCAGAAATAGCTGGGTGTAAAATATACGGTACTGACACATGCAGTTTATCTTTAGTAATTAATGCCGTGTTAAAATGGGTCTTCCAAGGACTAAACTCGAATGGAACCGCGTATCAGATGCGTTTTATCTCTAGATCATAAATTAGCTGTTTGCCAGAAAGTAGGCTTTGCGTGTTTTACTTACTCGTTGCTGACTTCGTAAATGGTATAGTAGGCTGTGTACGATTGTCTGAAAACCTGAAAATAAAGAAGGGAAATATATTTCCTTAGGGGCTGTTTAAAAATAGAACTTTTTCCGAACGATTTCGTTATCTTTTTCGATTCGTCTCTATTCATAGGGAAATACCCGCTTGATTATCGCATTGTTCCACGTAAAAACAACCCTTTTTGACCTCCCCCCCAAAAGCTGCATGCTCTACTTCCTCGGCATTGTGAGTACAGGGCAAATACGTAAACTTTCTGAGAATTTTGCAGAGCGTCGTGGCCATCGCCAGCGTCGGAATACAGATCGACGCCGCCCTGGGCGCCTGCCAAGAACCCTTTGGGGGGCGCCGCGGGGGCGCCCCATCCTAAATCACATCCCTTGTCTATGCTGCCCCTTTTCGGTATCTGTCTCTGTGTATGTGCGCGCACTCGGATTTCGACGAGCGATGCAATTAGGACTCAAGGAACGGATATTGGAGGAATTTGAACCGATCCTTCTAGTAAGGATCCGTTTAAATCGACAATGGGAAGATATAACTCATTTTAGAAAACTAGACACCCAACAAAAAAATAAATAAAAGCAATATGACAACAAAATCATTTCATATTTTCATTGAAGAACTAAATTGGAGTAATTTTAGACGATATTTCAACTAGAATTTATCTGATTTAGAAAGTTCTAACTGGGGTTTATGTAGTGTTATACTTACTGATTTAATATTATGTTGGAAGAGCACGAATTTCAAATCCCTGGAGCACTGGTACCCCCTGACGTCGAGCTGCCGCTGCAAGAGAAAGCCGAAAATCGTAAATCACACCCCTAAATGAGTTCGGGTTCGTGTTGATTCAAGATAACGCGCGACTGCTTTATTATTAATGCCAAGGCGATTACCTAAATTAATGCTCGATGTAAACTAAATAATATTCAATACAAAAAAAATTAAAATAATTACGTATTATTACATCACTCAAACGTCCTAGTTCAATAATGATTGATTTTAGATGAATGGGTAATTAGATCTGTTAAGATAACATGCATAATTAGGTTGAAATGACGATGTAACGTCAACACGTGATGGCTAATACAAGGTAAATGGTCCTAATTCAAGCCGGATACATTATTAATTAATTACATTAGTCTACAAAAAAAAATTCATAAAATGTACAGGCCAAAATTGAAAATATCGTAAAACCAACAAGTGCAATTATCTTGGTTATTATTACAGGTGGAGTATTATAACTAAGACATTATATGGACACTTTTTTACAGAGAATCTGATGACGTAGTCAAAATTTTTTCGGTTTTAGATTTTGAGATATTATGACAATTTTCGTTTTTTTAAATGGAAACAATCACTGATTATTCGCTTATTAAATTCGTTATATTTTTCTGATTACAAAAATATGGGATTAGATAGGTCTATTTCTTATTGTTTTAGAATAAAGTTAAAAATAAGCTTTTTTTTTAGTGTCGTCAAAGAAATTAAATTTACAGTTTCCTATAAATTACGGTACTATAACTAAAAATTATTCTACTAAAAATTTATATAAAATTTACTTTGTTTTCTAATATGTAACATTCTAACATGTTAAACTTTTCGTAATTCATCTTAAAAAACAGGATTTTTAATTTGACACTTCAGTTCATTTGAATTAAAAATAAAAATGTATGATCGCCATCTATCAATAATTTATTAAGTCATTTAATAATAATATTAGATATTAATAAAAAATGTGAAATAATGCAACCTATTCCAGCTTTTGTGTAAAACAGATATAAATTAAATAGTTCAACAAATGTATTTGTTTCAAATATCAGAAATATGTTTTTTTAATTTTTAGTTATAATTTACAGGAAACTGTAAATTTAATTTCTTTGACAAAAAGAAAGTTTATTTTTAGCTTTATTCTAAAACAATAAGAAATAGACATGTCAAACCCTATATTTTTGTAATCAGAAAAAAATAACGAATTTAATAAGCGAATAATCAGCCATAATACCTCAAAATCTAAAACCGAAAATATTTTTGTCCACGACTACCTTATAATATACAGGGTGATTTATAACATGCGGAGCAGACTAAAAGGGCAGGTAATTGGCGTCAAACTGAAAAGATTTACTTAATAATGTTTTGTTAAAAACTTAATAGTTACATAGATATCGCATGTTAATTTTTTAAATAATTTAACGTCTATTTTTGAGAACCGCTGATATTCAATAAAGAACAATAAAAATATTTGTCAATGCCATCCTCATTTTTGAAGGAGATGTAAATGTAGACAATTTATTGTTTCAGTAGTTTTGTTATTTTAGGTAATACGTAATTTGTTAAAAGAAATAATAGATGTTAAATTTAATAAATAATAATTTAAATTATTTTTTTTAATATTAGTTTAATTTAAATAATAGATGTTTAATTTTGACGTTAAATGGTTTATTAAATGTTAAATGACATGTCTGCTGCTAAGTAACCAAATCAACTGGATTGGCAACAATAAAATCGTGGCATCAGAAGTTCTCAACCAAAAAAACACCAGTTTTTGAGCATTTTAACAAATTTTTAAATAGCCGTAACTGCTATATTACCAAGATTTTATTATTTTTGTTAATTATGCTTTGTTTAAGTAACCCCGAAATATTCGCACTGTGAATTTAAACGTGTGTAAAAAGTGTAATATCGTATATGGTAAGAAATGCTCGGCCAATTGTTCAACTTTAACGTTACTATATAACTTTGTGATTATTAAGTTGTGGTCAAAACATTATTAAGACAATATCTTCAATTTGGCCCCTAGTACCTACCTTTCTAGTCTGCTCCGTATGTTATAAATCACCCTGTATAACTTATGAATGAGCTTTCTAAAACGAAAGGGTAGTCATTTTTCACGGAGTGAATAATAGCGGTGAATAATAATCATTATATGATTTAAGCATAAATTAATTAATTTTAGTAAAGAAAACGACGTTTTATAAAATTGACATTTAATTTTGACAAATTGTTGTGAAGTTGGTTACAGTTAGTAATATTGAATTTGTGTCACATTGACGTTCAAACTTTATTCAAAAATGTATTTAAAAAATAAATTTATGGAATCAATTTCAATAGTCGTGGACAAAGTATAGTATTCTACTCGCATATAATGAGCTATTATTCACTCAGGTTAATTATGCCACTTGCTACGCTCGTGACATAAACTTAACCTTCGTGAATAATAGCCCTCATTATATGTTGATATAATAATATACTATTTTGACTACGTCATGAAATTCTCTGTAAAAAAGTGTCCATATAATATCTTAGTTATAATACTCCAACTATAATAATAACCAAAATAATTGAACTTCTTGGTTTTATTATACTTTCAATTTTGGCCTCTAGGAGAAAAACAAAAGACGATAGCGCTTTGAGGTTTTCGGTATTAGTAGTTTCTCGAAAAAAGAGATCATGACATGTAAGCTACTTTTTTTCTAACTCTTATAGTTTCCGAGTTAGCCTATTCGGACATCGACTTTGAACCAGCCTGTACATTTGACGCCACTGTATTTCCTTATGTAATTTGGTTTCCTAAACCCAAAAATGACACTTAAAATTTTTTCTATGGATACGTTTCGAAACTACGATTTTTTATTATTTTCTGGGTAATTTGACTATTTGCAGCATATCTCGAGTTAGAGATGACCGATCCGGTCGTGCTATTCATCAAATTAAAGAGTATTGTATAGCCAATAAATGTTATTAATACTTTTTCCAATCGGTTCGGTAGTTTTAAAACAATGTTCCATAATATGTAAAAAAAGGGATTTTTTTAGACAAAATGTGAACCAAAAATTCATTCAATATCCGTGGAGAGTCGCAAAAAAATTCTTTTTTACCTTTTACGTAAAGTTTGCTCTTTTTAGAAGACAACAAGGTACGCAGGATAAGAATCTGTGGAGAAATTAGCAAAAATTATGATCTACATGTGAGAGCACAGCTTTTTCTTGTAGGGGAAAGGAGGCAAATATCGACCACTTAAGAACTCATCAACAGTTACAATGAGTTTCGTTTTACAATGACGAAGATAAACTCTTGCAGGTTTACGGAAAAATGTCTTACTCAAATAAAATATCTAATGAATAATAATATATAATTGCATTAAGGTATTTTGTGTTAGGGAAAAAGAATTGCAGACATTATTTTGGCGAATAAAATCGACCTGTTGGCTAAAATCGATCAGGTATTTCTACAAGATATTTATTAAAAACGAATGTAAAGAATATTTTTTATTTTGAAAAAAGGAAACTGAAAACAATTAACATTTTGAGCGACATCTCCACCATAATTCATTGTTTCTTCCAAAATCATGACATATCCTACATGTTTCATCTTCATCGCAAATCTTCTGTTGTTGACTTAGACACCGCTTAACTCTCTCTTTTTCTTCATTTTCCTTCTTTTTTTCTTCTTTTCCAGTTCTTCTTTAACTGGCGTTGAAGTCAGAATATTGCATTCTACTAGTGTTACTTCTAGTTTTCACTGTAGGTAATGGTAAAAGATCTATAAAACTTGAACAGGTTGTTGAACAAAGTTGAACAAAGTTGAACAGTTTTGTCTTCCTCGTCAGTCATCTCGTCTTCTAAAACTTCTTCTAAACCTAATTCTCAGGAAGATTCTGATTCTGATTCTGTCGACTGTCGACGGCGTTTATGTTTAGAAAGAAACTCTCGTGAATTTAGTTCCGAAGTGGACGGTTCAGGGATAGAAGAAAGTCTTCTGTCTAAATTTTTGTCTGGTTGAGCATTATTACTGCTTTGTGTGTCAGCAGCCGATGTAGGATGTGTCGTACCAGATGGAGTTTCTATGGCTGGGAGTAAATTCATCATCACTAAAAACAAAACGATTGAAAGGGAATATCCTAGTACTTGGAAAGCCTTTTTGGTTCACATTTTGTCTAAAAAAATCCCTGTTTTACATATTGAACCGATTGAAATAAGATTGAGATATGCTGCAAATAATCAAATTACCCCTAAAAAAAATCATAGCTTCAAAACGTATCCATAGAAACAATTTGAAATGTACAGTGGTGTCAAATGTACATTTTATAATTTTTTTTTGTAGACTAGTGTTATTATAAAATAAAATTCTTTTTTACTATTATACTACTACTTACCAGTGTGTGATTAGTAACTAGAAGCGACACGGTGAAGTTAGTAGTATCAAAGACAGCTAAACCGCCGTTGTCATCCTGAAAGACGAAGTGGGTGTCGGAGATCCAAGAAGGAGGTAGCTTCCTGGGGCTCAAGTTTCCCTATGTAACGAAAACGAAACAAGTTTCAGTGAAATTCACGGTTTATTCCAGCCCTACAACGTTCCCAAGTTATTAAACAGAACGTGGAAGTTTGCGATTCCAATTAAGAGATCGTGTGAAAGACAGGAATCATCTGTATTCATGGAATCGCGTGGAACTTTTTTTTGATATCGTATAAAATGTTTAAACTGTGATAATTAAACGATTACCTGCAGGTACTCGTCCAAGTCCATACGTTTTCCATGCCAGTATAAAAGTTCGTCTACGTAGCCTAAGAGGTAGATGGCGATTACTATACCGGTTACAACCAGACCGATTACTAATAGGGAAAAAATTATCGACCACCAATTGTGACCTTCATCAGCTTGGTATGCTAATTCCTATAAAGTGTAAGTTTTAAAAGAAAAAATTATTATAATTTAATTATTTTTAAAATTTTGTGTTGTTATATACAAATTTAAATTATTCTAAGAAAATTTAAACGAGAAAGTATTTTTTTTTGTGCACACATACTTAGAAACTAAGGGGGGCATAAAAATTTACTAATTTGGAGTAAAATTTCTAAATCGTTTTGTGTCAACTAAATCTCTAGAATTTGTAATGTGCTTAAATACTATTTTACAGTGCTTAAGTGTATTATCTAAGATAATTTAGGTCATATTTATCAATATATTATATATATAGAATATAAAAAACCTCTAGATTTTGTTTTTTTTGATGTATTTTGGTTTTTGCAGCAAACTTTTTGTTATTGTTCTATAAGATATTTGCTAAGAAATCATTACTTCACTGTTTTATCAAAAATTACAGTTTGTGATGGGTTTTAAGCAAATTCAAGCACAAATGTGAGTTCACCAACTAGAACTTTATAATTCTAGTATTTGGAACAACTGGATACGATCAATCTCCTGGTCATAGCGTAAGTCTAATTTAACAACTACTGAGGATTTGTTTCCTGAAATAATTTATTCTGAATGATTTATGAACGTAGTCGAGTCTGTTCAGAATTTGAATTTGTGTTTAGTAGAGGACATTTTTAATCACAAACTTGTGTATACTCAAAAAGTTTCAGATTCCCAGTAAATCCAATATTTACAACAGTAATTGACCAACTATAAAAATAATGAAAGGTAAGATAAGGAACATAATGCATTTTTGAATTAAAAAGAGGATACTTTAATTAGTAACTGGTGATATTTCCACAAGGATCCCTCAAGAAATTAATTTTATAGCGAATTTTAAAAATTATCGATGAAAATTACAACATCGAAAATTATTTCAAAACTTCAAATATTATTTTCTCAAAAACTAAAAGTTATTTTTCAAAACGGGTTGGTTCATTGGAAAGAGGACACTTTTATTAACACTTTGGGAAATTTTCATACTCATATTCCAAGAAATGGATTTTATACGAATTTTTAAAACTTAATCGGCGAAAATTGCAAAATTCGAAAAAATTGTCGATTATTTCAAAAATTTATTTCTCAAGAACTAAAAGTGATTTTTCAAAACGGCTTTTTGCATTAAAAAGAGGATACTTTAATTAATAATTGGTGATATTTCCACAAGGACCCTTCAAGAAATTAATTTTATAGCGAATTTTGAAACTTATCGATGAAAATTGCAACATCGAAAATTTGATCAAAACTTCAAATATTGTTTTGTCAAAAACTAAAAGTTATGTTTCAAAACGTGTTGGTTCATTGGAAAGAGGACACTTTTATTAACACTTTGGGAAATTTTCAAACTCATATTCAAAGAAATAGATTTTATACGAATTTTTAAAACTTAATCGGCGAAAATTGCAAAATTAGGAAAAATTATCGATCATTTCAAAAATTTATTTCTCAAAAACAAAGTGATTTTTGAAAACGGCTTTTTGCATTAAAAAGAGGATACTTTAATTAATAATTGGTGATATTTCCACAAGGATCCTTCAAGGAACTAATTTTATAGCGAATTTTGCAACTTATCGATGAAAATTGCAACATCGAAAATTTTATCAAAACTTCAAATATGGTTTTCTCAAAAATTAAAAGTCGAAGACACTCTTATTAACACTTTGGTAAATTTTCATACTCATATTCCAAGAAATGGATTTTATACGAATTTTTAAACCTTAATCGGCGAAAATTGAAAAATTCGAAAAAATTGTCGATCATTTCAAAATTTTTTTTCTCAAGAACTAAAAGTGATTTTTCAAAACGGCTTGTTGCATTAAAAAGAGGATACTTTAATTAATAATTGGTGATATTTCCACAAGGATCCTTCAAGAAATTAATTTTATAGCGAATTTTG